ATCTATCTATCTATCTATCTATCTATCTATCTATCTATCTATCTATCTATCTATCTATCTATCTATCTATCTATCTATCTATCTATCTATCTATCTAAGATCTTATGCATTGGTGTGTAAAAAGCACAGGTCAGGACTCAGTTGTAAATTAGAAATGAACACATGATGTAAATTTGCAATTGTATAAAGATAAATCAATAATCCTTATATTAATGTAGAATATAAGCCTTTCGATATAATGCTGCAAATCGTTAACCACAATCATCTATTACTGTAGTCGAAACAAGAGAGAGGAAACGATTGTCTGACAGCAAATATCTGAAAATCAAAGTATAAATGTTGTTCCCATCTCATGCCACATCATGAGGAGTAAGCCAAAAAGCTAAATAATGCAGACAACAGCAATAACCTTCGGAATATTTTGGGATTCTGAGAGAAATTAAACAAAAAACTTCCTTTGTAAGTCTCCACATTTTCTTCAATATCTATATTTATTTCAATAATTTATACATATTTTATGCACTACATAAACTGTAATGTGTGTTTTTTTTTAATTATGAAAAGCCTTATGATTAACAATCCTGCTGAAATGCTTTATATTGAGATATTCAGCCACAAATTTCTAAATGACATAATTTGCTTCTTTGCCCTGTGGCATGTTGGAGCCAGCCAGATGATTTAAAGACTGACAGAAAATGTATTTTCGATGGCTTTTGACCAGGAGAGGATTTCACGGTATGTTGGAGCTCTTCGGGGGCTTCTTGTCTGAAAAATGTTATTTCTCTTGCTTAATCTTGCAGTCGACTGCTGTGAAATCATGCTTTATACCAGCCATTCATATCTTGCTTTTTGGCTTTCGACATAAATGCTAATACGGTTGGTAAAAAAAATAAAATATCTGAAAACAAATATGTTCACTGAGCAGTTTTTGAGCTTGTGCAACATATTTCATTGTCAGGTAATCACCGCACTCCCCATCAGTCAGCCGTAATCCCCGTCCCTCTAGCGCCACATGCCTGGCGGGCCTCACTCTGCCTGCTTCCATACCAGAGTGATAAAGAGGTGTCAGAGCCTGGAGTCTTGTAGGCCATCACTCAGGATGAGACGCCACTCCAAGTGGTAGCATTTGTGAGAAGGTGGTGTCAGATTCCTGGTCTCGAGCGCCAGCTTGTCCTAATGACAATTCTGCCATCAGGTTCCCTGCTGCCCTCTGAACCCTCCCACTTCCCTTTTTTGACACTGGCATGCTTACACTCTTATCAAGGCCAAGGCAACGGTACAAATGGAAAAAATACATGTCACATCATCACCTAGCTTTTGCTGTTAACAGTCGGAAGTAGATAACAATAATGGAATAACACTGTGGAACTTAATAGGATCCTCACGCAACGAACAGATTTACATGGGCCAAGTGTGCAGGGCAGAGATACGGACAGGCAGTGAATGGAGTAATTTATCATTGTGGAACTTATTTAAAATGGATGTGGGAAATATTTTATTTTACAGTTTTTCTCAGTCGCTTTGGTGCTTTT